CGGCAATCAGAAAGGATTTGTCTCTCACAGCCTGGCAAGAAGGGGTCCTGCACCTTGACAGGCTCCGGATCTAAAGTCTTTGATGCGTGCCCAGTTGGTATCAGACAGGAAGGGTACTTTCCCAATTAATCAGCCATCATAACCCATTGCGAGAGACTGGCGCAGCTTACGTCAAGAAGATTGAACACCACCGTGTACGGCATCAGGCCGTACGTGTCATGGGGCACAGCAGTCTTGTCAGCTCCTGGTGCCACAATTGCATCCAGCTTGTGATCAAACCACGTCCGATGCCACGTCTCGGCGAAGTTAGCACGCGCGGCATCCAGGTCATCCAGATGATGCCATGGCTCCGCCAAGTCCTTAGGGACAGGCCGTGGCTTGGCTGTGAATGGGTGCATTCTCGCCGCAGCAGCCTTGACCAATGGCTCACCAAGGACGGCTGCAAGATCTTCCTCTGGAGGATGTGCCAGTTCGAAGAACTGGTACGAGAGCTTGATCCCAAGGTCAACGCTACGCTCGTAGTCATACGGGAGCCGCACGACTTCGTGGCCAGCCGCAGATAACGCATTAATGGCATCTTCGAAGGCTCGGTGAACAGGCGGGTGGAGTGGCCAGGCGGGATCTTCCTCCAATACCCCGAGTCGCAGGCGCTGTCCGACAGCTGGCTTTCGCCAAGGCAGATCAAGAGCGGTGGCATCGTATGATCCCGCATGTTGATTGATGACCGCACTCATGAATAGTTGAAGATCTTCCATGGTGCTAGCGATTGGACCAGCAGATGGGAAGGGACCAGGAAGACTCAAGATAAGCCCTTCAGACTGGTTTCCATATGGCACCCGATGGTTCGTTGGTTTGAACCCGTAGTTTCCACAGCACATTGCCGGGATTCTAATGGAGCCGGCGATGTCGGTACCAACTCCGATCGGTGAACCTCTAAAGGCTACCAAGGCGCCCTCGCCTCCGCTCGACCCGCCAGCGTTGAGATTGAGATTGTGAGGGTTCAATGTGCGGCCATAGATATGGTTTTCCGAGTCTGCGGTCTTCACAACGGGTTAGCAGAATGATGGCTGTGCTGCAGCGATGTCTTACCATGAGAGTCTGCGGTATGTTCGTCTTGACGTAGAGAACCGAACCTGCATCCAGTAAGACGCTGACCAAACACGAGTTCGTGGTTGCGGGCCCCAACCTCAGGCCGTTGACGTAGCCCGCCGTTGCGTCGAAACCCACTATTTTGAAGGTGTCCTGGTTAACGGTCAGCTGAAGGTGCCAGCGATTCTGAACTCTAAACAGGGGAGGCGCACTTTCAGACTGATCGGTAAGCCGTGAAGTGGTCCTATAGTCTTCCCATTTTCGCGGTAATAATCATCTAGAAACTTGGCTCGCGCGATGGCCTCGTCATAGAATGACTCCGTGAGACACGATGTCTGCAACCTGGATCAGTTGCGTCTCCTCAAGGTGTATGGACTGTCTCTCGGGCTCACAATTGGAGGGACTCACAAGCTGCTGAGCAACGGCGGCTCTTTTGCAGAAGGCCGTTACCACTTGAGTTGCCGTTAGACGGCCGAGTGTCATCAGGTTGACAAGCTTAACGGCAGAGTAGTTTTCAGTGATGTCGAGCTCAACATCATCTAGAACCCCTGATCTTCTTGCAGGATCGAGTTCAAGAAGTCGGCCTCCATTCGCCTCTGTCAATTCTTTGACCAGGGAGACGTCAAGCTTCCACTTTGCTGGGATAGCACCAGCGAGCTGTTGCTTCTTTTTATCAACCAGCTCCTGCCATGACATGGCGTTCAGTTGCTCCTGCTCGTGCGCAGGCTTCATGTCCACTTTGGTGATAGGCATCCTCGAGGTTGCAGTGCCGCTGATGATCTTGGCGCATGAAGTGAGGGGAAAATGCGCTTGTGAAGATGATTTCAGATCATGAGGTTACCGAGTCGACCTCTTAAATGCTTGTGTCTCAGGGCACTGCAGCATGAACACCACCATAGGACGCACAATCCGATCGGTGTCTGGGTGGTGTTCTGATTGGCTCTTAGACTTGCCATTTTCGGATTGGTGTCCCCGACGGACAGGAGGACCCTCTCAAGCGGAGAGATGAGCACTGGACAAGGGGTTTCAAAGGTAACAGCAAATGCTTTGAAATCTTCTCGCTCCCGCATGATAAGAGCTGATACCTTACAGTTAGGAGATGTGTATATGTAAGAGCCGAGAGGGAGTGGGCTCCGTGATCGGCTTCCTCGACCTCGAGTAGATGGTGAGTATTTCGTGACTGTCTTTACGTGTTCTATTTGAAGTGAATACGTCGACGTGAACGCATGTGAATTGTTTATTTCTACGTTATAGCCAATTTTGTAGCAAAGGGTCTTGCATCGAAGATAGACATTAAATCAGATTGCGGGTAACTGGAAGGAAACACAACGTGTAGGCTGTTCTAAGAGGACACAATGTATTCAAGCTAGTATCTAAGTACGTAGGTAAAATAGTGCTAATTTATCAAGTTCTCTCGAATGCTCCAACATCTTGGGTCTTCGCTACGAGTTTGTCATATCTGGCATGCAACGCGACTCGAATGTCCCGCCCCCAGATCAGTAATGGAATGAACGAGAAGCAGATAGAGGTGGCCACACATCCGCAAATGATTGAGATCTTTGTAAGGCTCATGGAGTTGAGCCATGGTACCACTGCAAACGGTACTCCAATAGTCGCTGCGTTGCGGATGAATGTGATGGACACGAAGGACTCTGCTGTGGCCTTTCCATGGAAGAAAACTATGTCAGTACTGAAGCGACACATTTGTTTTCAAGAGCTAAGCACTTACAACTTTATAGGTGTCAATCACAATGGTAAAACTAACATCCATCATAGAGCTCATGCCAAATGCGAAAAGGGCACCTCCAATACTTGGGTACACCCAGTGCATCCCCTGAAGCACGTTTGTCAGCCATGAGACTTTAGAGCTTGCCCTCATGTAGAACGATGACTTACTCTGTCTGCTGTGATTCCAAAGATAACAACGCCGACTCCCATGAGGAGTGCCGGTATGAAGAGGACATAGAGTCTCATCTCCGGCTCGAAGATGCCACGATTCTTCAGTGCAAATCTAACGACGATCCAATCCCCAAAGATTCCACCATATACACTGCCAATCATGTTGCCAATGAAAGGACCGATGAACATGAGGCCGACTCCCGCTGTGTTGAAGTTGTACGGCGGGGCAGCAAGTACGATGGAATTTATGCTCGTCAAGAGGACCAAGAAGGCCACGGCGTTGGCGCATTGTATGGCTGAGAAGACAACATGTGGGAAGAGAGCCATCCTGAAAGGGGCGATATAGGTGGAGAGCAACGATTCCTCCGTAGGAGTGGAGAAACGCATTCGTTGTCGGTACTTGTTGGGCAGAGGGACAGGGGGCATGATCTGCTCAACGTCCTGGTCGCCATGCTTCTCGAAGAGTTGTTTGTCGTTGGCGGGGGGCGATGCCGTTGCGTTGCTCTTTGCCTTTCGCAGCTTGTTCTGTGTTTCCTGCAAGTCTGGGTCTCCGACGGTCGAAACCCCAACAGACACGGGTACGTATTTCGTCTCTTCAAAGAAGAAAAGAAATAAGAGAAACAAGATTGTGAGAATGATGCCGACGGTGTAGTATGCCCATCGCCAGCCCACGGAGGCTGCTTGGATACCCGCGAGAGTGGGGGCCAGGAAGTTCCCGATCATGACGCTGGTGATGTAGAAACCGTTCGCCAGACCGCGTTGGTGGACGAAGAAGAGGTCCGCAACCTGCCAGCACAAACTTTGTTAAGAACATCGTTCTCAAATAACTGCGAAATGTGATCGATATATGGAACGTACAGTCATTTCAGCTATGGTCTCGTTCGTTGACCCGGCCAAGCCAAAGAGCAAATTCGTGATATACATCTCGGGAACCGTACGCGTGCGGCTGCTCCACCAGGAGGTTGCGGCCATGACAGCGGTCGAGAACATGTAGGTGGATCGTCGACCGTACTTCTTCGTGAAGGGGATGATACAAAGGCAACCCAGCGCGAGCCCGACGACGTTGAAGGAGACGCCGGCGTTGAGTTCGTCGTAGGTCATGCCCAATTCGACCGTCATTTGCTGCCAAAAGACCATCTGCATGGTCATGCTGGCAAACGAGTGTCAGACAATCGAATTTCTGAGCCGTCAAAGTCGAGATACTAGGCTTGGAAGGGTGCTCACGATGCGAAGACTGCCACGGTGACAGCAAGGACGAAGAGTGTGTTGACATATTTGCGAGCCAAGGTCCAATTCTAATAAGAGCCAATTTGTCAGACGACTAAGTCGAGGACTTCCTGGATGCGCACGTAGGAACTCACCAAGGGGTCATTAGGGTCCGCAGTAGGCTCAGGAATCAACACTAAGACGGGTTCTTCTTCTGCAAAAGCCAAGGTCAACATCGCACGCTCGGAGCGCCTTCAGGACAGCAACCTACCCGACAAAAGTGTAGCACTACCAGGGGGTAGGTAAGTATCTTCCTCAAGCATCTCCACGGTCAAATGTATCGAGGGACCTCTGAGCACTTGTGATGCTGTAGACGACGACTTTAGCTCGGGCAGCCAAAAGACAAACAGCCTCTTGTATAGGGTATCTAGATCCTGGGATCGCACCTTCTTATGAGATTTGGACCATACTAATGTCTTCGCCTTTGAGACCACCACATCATCGCCCAGCCAAGGCTTCCGTCTGATAAGCACGAACTCCACTTAAACTTGAATCTGGGGTAACAACCAGAACTGAAGCACGCCTGGGGCGATTAGGAGCAGAGACATGATTGGCTCTTGGACCTACCTAATGTGGTTTGGCTTATCCGACGACCCCTGCGAAGCCTCAACCGATCTTGTCAATGATATCGCTAGACTGGACGAGTGGTATCACTTCGTCTTGATATATTTGTTTCTGCATAGTGATGTAGATAGGTTGATGGGCGGGGATATTCTGACACGGCCCTTAGCTTCGGAGACCATAACTCAAAAGAGAGCTATTTCCACGTTCCTCCGTCTGGCATGCTCGTCGATGTCGTAATCATCATCGCCAGCCTTCCACGCCTCATCCAACATCTCTGCAATATTGCACGCATTCGCACTTCTGCCGTAAGGTTGGCAAATGTCGACAGCACGGCGCAGCACCTCCATCCAGGAAGGCCGCCGTTGCAAGGTGGCAACCTCCAGCCGTGCCGCAACATACGGATAGAGCAGCGAGTTTGACGTGAGCAGGTGATCGTATTCGGGCCGCGTCCGTGTGTCGCAGAGGGCATCGATGGCTGCCACGAGACGACCGACTAGGAGTTCCGTTGATGGAGCTGACGATGGGAGACCTCGACCCCTTCTCAACCGCCGACCAGTGAGAGCTCCAGCGAAGCGATACGCTTCCCACAAGTGAATCTGTGGTATCTCTCCGAGCTCTCCTAGCCACGAGAGCAGTGCATCCTCCGAAGACTCGTCTTGGATGGAAGAAAAGATATCCAGGAGTGACCGTGGGAGACTGGTGATTACCTCTATTCCACCCTCAACTCTCGCGTGACGAGTTTCTTGGGCCTGGCGTAACCTATGCCAGATGCCCAGTGTCATGGTGGAACGTCCTCGGACAAAGGTCGGCATGTCCATCACTGCCATAAGTTCCAAGGGAAAACAGGCGTCTGGGTTGTCCAGGATAGCAGAGCCGTCCAGACTGCCTCCCAGGCCATAGACAGTGGTCATAAGCTCCAGATGAACAGACCATGGTGCGCTTTGGAAAAGCTGCATTGACGGGTTGAGACTATCAGCGGCGAAACGAGAAGATAAACGAGGCTTCGTGAAGTTCACTCACATTGAGAGTGCAAATAAAAAGGCCCGCGTACATTACCCCCACGTTGACGGTACCATCATAGGACTCCAGCTGCTTGCGGAAGAGATGAAGCCCGCGGAGATAGTACTCTTCAAACAGCGACGAGGGGTTGGCTGGGCTCGACACGTATAGGTGAGTGGCTATAAGAATGGAGCAAAGGGCTTCCGACCTATTTGCGAGTTCACAAAGATCTCGTCGAAAGAGGTCATCGCGATGGGTGGAATACAGCAGAAATATGGTCGAGTTGTCGACTGGTATTGGTTGTCAGTCCGTAATCCTTCTTTCGTGTAAAGATGATTCATCTATGATTCAGAAACATCGATGGTAAGTGCTCACATTGTTCGTAAAGATGCCGGTCCTGTTCCGTCTGACCGGGCCAAGGGGACCCGGCTTGAGACGGTTCGGAGTGCTGCGGGGACGGCTGCAAGACCTTCGGAGGCGCACCGGACGGCTCGGGATTCGGCGGGAGAGCCAATGAAATCTGCCGTGGGAACAATTCTTTGCTCCGGCCTTTTTCTAGTCCTGGAAGAGCAGCCAGCTTGGGATCTGGATCCTTCTTGCTGGGGAACTCTCCCGACGAGCTCCTCGACGAACGTGTCGTCCTTCGGCGTTTGGTAGGCGGGGCGTCCGCAGGTGTCGGCGCGCCCGTGAGACGCCCGCGTGAAGCAATGCCAGTGTCCCAGCGTAAGACGACGTTGTAGCCCTCGCATTGAATTCCTTGGCCGAGACATTGCAGACAGTCCGGTCGGGTTTCGTCGCACTTACGATGGCGTCGTTTGCATGTCAAACATCCGCTCCGGGAACGCGACATGTTTACAGGAAGCTGAGCTGCGGGCCATCGATGAATAAGATTGAGAGTCGGAGCGGAGGATGAAGGTTTTCAGTGGTTGATAAGTTGCCATCGATGTTCGAGGCGCTGCTTGACTCGATGAACTGGATCCTGTGGCCCTGGGGCTATTCACTTGGAATTGTTTTGATTGCGAATCTGGAGATTTCAGCGATAGCGGCAAAGCAGGCTCTAGCGGAGAAGTTCGGGAAGCCGCAGGGGCCGGGCTGCTTACTAAGACATCCGGAGGGGGATCGCGGCCTGGCATAGTGCGGCTTTCAGGGGGTTGACATCTGAGGTACACCTGAAGGCCCTGTATCTTGGAATTTGTCAGGCACGGGCGTTTACTCTTGAGGTCGCCGATTGCTCAAGTCACTTGTTTCGGAGAGAAAATGATGAAAAAACAAGAGATATTTGTTCCATTGCCAAGTAGTATAAAATAGATAAGAAAATCTTTAAGACATAACTTCTTTTTCCAACCAAAGGTCTAACGCGAACCCAGTCTTTTCCCCGGGCGTTCACCACGACGCCTCTACCAAACTGATGACTATTTACGTATGTTTACTTGCCAGCGTCCATCATCTTTAATCCGTTTATTATTATTTTTCTATCCTCAAACCAGAAGCTTCTGTATCTGTCTATCCAGATGCTTCTTGTGCGCATCGTTTACTGGACTTGGGACTTCCGCCAAAATATCCTTAATCTGACCCATGAGGAATGCGCGGGGGTTGCACTCAGAGTGGTCAACGCCCCCCTTCTCTCCTGGCCGTCCAATATCATGGATAACCAAGTTCATCAACGTCGAGTACAGCATCACCACGCTGTCATCGACATCTGCAGTTTCAGGGATCGGCCAAAGCCCAGCCCTGGTTAGACAGAACGTCATGCTGCCCAAAATCATGCTCTCGCACCGGTGCGGGCCCATGTAAGAAGCATGCAGGCACCAGCGCGGGCCTTCGTCGACGGTGACGAGCTTCTCGTACAAGTCACGAAAGACATCCATGATGGACTGTATTGTCTGGCTGCGGATGGCGTTGATACGTTCTGATTCCAAGGGTTAGTGACAGCGCCATGCTGGTGGGCAATGGAAACAAACCGATAATGTCTGGCGGCATGCTCAGCTCCTCTAGGCCGGTATCTTCCCCAATCATGCTCCCCTGGCACTCCATAACCATCCTCCTTGCGGTACTCTCAAAAAGCTGCTTGTGCCCCAGCTCCCACGAGATCCACAGCAATTTGGGCATGAGCAACGCCTCAGAGCCGACGTCGGGAACCTCTCCAATCCCAGAGATCCAGCCTTGCAACCACGGCGTTAACATGGGTGTGGCGTCATAGTAGTGCGTCAGCACCGTCAGGTCGTAGAACTTGTCGATAGTCAGACTCCTTGGCACGCAGCGGTACTGTGCGTGGGCGATGCTGGCGAAGAGAGCGAACGCATCGGGCTTGTCGTCGCGGAGCTGCACCACCCAATCGGCTGCGGGATCGCCGGAACCGGACGCGGCCGGCTTGGCCTCGGTAAACTTGCCGTTGAGCATGCGGTCGAAGACGGGGGATACGCGGGCCATAGCCCGGGAGCAGGCGCGGAAGCTGCGGGCAGGGGTATCTTCAGCCGCCGCCGATCCTACGACGAAGACGACGTCGCCGCGGGGGTCCAGTTCCGTCAGCTCCGAAGAACCGGTCTCTTTGAGCGGGGACATTTGGAAAAGTTTTATTGTGAGACGGAAAGAAAGACTGGAAACGTTCAACGAATGTGATTTGCTTGCCTCGACTGCAAGTGTGCTGGATAGCTTCAACAGTTGGAGATGTTTCGATCTCCCTTTAACAGAAGTGATGGTACCCTAAGGGAAGGCTCGGCGAGCATATTTTTTGAGGCTCGTAGGGCTGTTGCAACGTTCGGGCTGAGTCTCGTATCCTACCCCCTTTCAGCCTTATGCTATAAAAAGACACATAGATCGGGCTTCGGTGCACTGAACAGAATTTGATCTCATCCGTGGCGCAGGGGAGCTGCTAGAGCTCTTGCGCCACTCTTGGCCCAAACCATAGAGTCATAGACTGGAATAAGGGGCTGGTCTGCTCATTTTGATGCTGTGGGCCATCGTCCTAAGTCGGCTCGGTCGCCGGAGTGGAGTGTTGGCTGGGCGGGAGGCCGTTCGGAGGGCGCGGGCACCGAGAGCACACCATGGTCGGACAGGCGTTCTTAAAGGCCCGAGCCCGATCTTTCGGCACCACAGCCACAGAAGACGAACCTATCGGACCCGATAGGTCCGTCTCCAGTTAACCTGCTCCCAGCCTTTGGATTTCTCTGTATGTCATTTTAAACCTCTACCAACCTCTTCACTCAGGAAACCCAACCCTCTTTCAGCAGCGGGCTAGCATTAGCTTAATCAACGGACAATTCTACCAGTTCAACAATACAGAAATAGAACGACCCACATCGCTAAGGAACACGGATCACATCTTGAAAAAAGGTCCAGATCTAAAACCAACGGGAGACGGCATCTGGTTGTGATGACGGAATAAACCTTTCTAAACTCTGGTCATCGAGAATACTTACACACAAACTATAATGACTTGTTTCATGGATGATTGACCATAGGAGGAAGTTCTTGGTAATCTTCGATTCCAAATTAGGGATTCAATCACGGAGAGGTAGGTTTAGATCGGAACATGGCACAGAATGACCACATGGACGGCAAAGACTGCCGGCAGCTGGATTCCAATATATACGCCGATGTTACCTTATAATTGAGACTTGAAGGTTGCGAAAGTTGACGGTTGCAGCTGCTATTGATTACGCTTACTTTAACCGCACAGAGGTCTAGTGAAATCATGTACATGTCAAAAGCCTGCGGATGCCGTAATGGTCCAATTCAATCGCGTGATACCCTCGCGGACTTCATTTCGAACTTCAAAATGAACTGATCCAAGAGCGGAGACATGATTTAATAACCAATAGCAGAAGAAGACGTTCATCATGTGGCATGCAATCTCTCTCACCTTCGTCAACGAGTGGCGTTTTGCTCGGCATTCTCTTCAACAAACCTCGGGGCTTCCAGATCCACTCTATCTCACAAGAAACTCTCGAATGGCACCGACCATTTGCGGCGTGGCAACTGATCGTCAAGCACTTTGTAGGATATCCAAGGAGGTCACCTTGAAGTTCAACCATCTGGTTTCTTCTTCCTGGCTTACTTCGATGGCTTCTTTGCGCATAACTGAGGTTTAAAGCACCGTATCACTTCATGTTTAAAGCACACGACTCTGTCAATGTAACATGGCCGGCGTGACATTTATCGTTGTTCCAATATCTTGGCTTTCGCTGGACGCTCTCGTCTGATTTATTGCCATGGGCTCTTCAGAGACTGGCCACTCGTTGAGGATGTTGCTGGTGACTTGAGCGTTTAAATAGCACTACGATATGCTGCCAAGTTGCTTTTGCCCGTTGAGTTCACCTAAAGTGGCGCAGTTTAACCAGAGGGATCGCAGGCGAGCCCGATGAGCGCCAAGTAGAATAGAAACGACGTACCAAAAGGTCAGAGACTATTGATGACCCCATGTAGACCCAGACTCCGGAGACCTAATGAATTCATAGAAAAGATCCGAATATACGAGGATGCAGCGATGGATCCGAAAGAATACAACTAAGCAGTTGAATCCGGTCTTGTCATTTGCTGAGATCAAATGTTTATCGGCCACCTAAAAGAATATGCAAGCTTTACGGTAATTTGGTTTCCCTCTGAACCGAACAGCCGGATAACAGGTTCTCCAGCTGCTGGAATCTTCTCGACTGGGGCTTGTCGTAGTTCGACCCGAACAGCCCCCCTCTGTCTTGTCAAATAGTGTACCAATTGTTGGCCAGAAGTTGGTGAGACAGACATCTCCACGGCGATCGGGCTTAGGGGCCCTCGTAAGCTTCTTGCTTGGCATGGCGTTCGGTACTAGGCTTTCCTTTTTGGAGAATGAAGACTTCAATTTCTGCTTAGCTTAATGGCGCCTACTGTGCTACGGGCGAACTTAGTAAGAAGGTATGATTTCACATCGTGCATAAGGCAGACTGCAAGGATTACCTGGATGACCTGTTTGCTCTTGGCTCAGGGTAAGGCAGCAATCTGTGGCCTTCGAGCGCGTCTCACCACACTCTTAGTGGTGAGACAGAGTGACATATGAGCCCCTTTGCAAAACGAGCCCTCTCGATGCCGGCAAGGTGTGCTCGGATGGTTCTACAAGAGGCACTCTCGTATTACAGTCGAGCTTTGCCATTTTGAGGTAACATGCCGCTCTACACGTGAATCAGGTCGAGGATAATCAACATCTGTCGGGTTTCCCACTTAGGTTAAGGCATGACGAAGGTGTGGTTCATGGCATTTCATGAGCAGTGATCTGTGAACCTGCTCTCTGCGTCTAATGTACCTGAGTTAAGGCCACAGGTTCTTGCACCGTCGTACTCTTTTGCATTAGAGCAGGCCTGCAGCAGCCAAGCCGTTATAAAGACAAAAGGAGGTTAGTGAGACATTGGCTGTCTCAGAACTTAGTGCCATTGCATTTGAGCGATTAATGGTTGGTAGCCTGATTTACGTCGTCTCTGGATTAGGGCTAAATTTCAGCAACCGAGCTAAAGTTGGGAAGGCAAACTGGAGGCAGGCCAGCGAGACGTCGGTTGCCTTACTGGGATTGACGGCATTGAATAGCGGTCGCCTGACTTACACATACAAGAGCAAACCTCTTTCGCAAGATTTGTTCACTCCTTCTCAAAGTTTCAGAGCTGCGGTCTTGCAAGTGCCGAAAGTAGCGCTACGTCACGCGCCCTATTCTCCTACCGCTGTTCAGCAATCTGTCCTCAACAGAAGTTCGGTACTTTCTTGATTCTCTAAATAAGGGGCCATGGTATCGAGCACTCCAAGACCATCCCTCGAAGAAGTACTACGAAGGAGAAAACTAAGCTATGAAGAACAAGACAGACTGGCACAGGAAGATCGTCAGAGGTATCTTCCATTAAATAGAAACCGTCTACCATAATCAAGTTGCCCTCCATTCTGATCATGCTCAATAGTAAATACCCCCCAAAGCTACACTTCAAGGATAAGTTCCACAGAGGAGGAAGCTCTGCATCGAAACTTGTTCAAAAAGCGCTCAAAGACCGTCTGCTTGACCCCAACACGCTTTGGGCCTATGAAGATATCATCGACCCACATCCGACATCCGCTTCCAACGAGTAGGGAAATACCTGGCGACGGTGGAATACACCTCTTCACCTCGCGCTTCTTTGCTTTGATTATGAGTCGGCTAGGATCCTCCTGCGTCACGACGGGGATCCGAATATCTACAACGCAGAAGGACGTACTGCTATTCATGAGGCTATCAAGCTTCACAACATCGAAGCTATCCGTCTTTTTATCCGTCACGGTGCGGACCCGAACAAAGCCTCGCACGATGGACTGGTTCCGCTCCACGCAGCTCTTTGCGAAGGATACGAAGAAGTGCTTTTCACCCTGCTCGAGAACGGTGCCACCTTGGAGGCTGCCGCGCATTACGAGTGGTCGATCACGGACCTTGCTTTGCTAGCCTCGGAAGATTGCATATTAGAAAGGTTAATGTCAGATGAGTACGGACAACTACCTACTCCTCTGATGCCTTCCCCCAGAGCAGCTCCGTGCCCGGAACCTCAGAATATCGCCATCTCAGCTAAGAGGATTCTTGACGTCGTTTCAAGCAATCAAGTCCTCCCAGGAAAGACCTTGTATGAGGCATATCACCACTTGTTGTCTGTACTGAATATGCCTCGGGATCAGAAGTGGGCCACGGACGCCGTCAATGCCCTAGTTGACAATGCTATGTACAGTTTGTATAGCGTTTCGCAAATACCAAGATTGGCTCTTGCAGAGAAGCTTTGCCCGGAATGCTCAAGATTTGTGGCATTCATCAAGAGATTCTCCAGGCATACAGCCGCGGCGAAGTATGAGTCTCTATACAAAATAGTCGACTTGCATAAGAACAAGCAGGAACTCAACGACTGCGCGCTTCCTGGATGCCCCATATGCCTGACGATTTCTGGCTAGTTTCGCGAAATCCATGAGAAAAGCGACAGTGGCCAGAACCACGAGCTCTTACCTGTCAGTCTAAAGCTTCGGCGCAGTTCCGCAGTCTTCCTGGAAGGTAGAATTGATCCATACCAAATAAGCTCTTTCAGCGCACAAGCTGGGCACTCGGAATCTATTAACTTCAGCTTGAAGCCCTACGATACAGGGTTTGAATTCCATCAGGAATATCCTCTCGATCAATGCGGTGACACTAGCACTGGTTCACCAAAAGCAACGAGCGTTGCAAATCACTGGCTTCAGATTTGCAAAACCTCACCAAAGCATTATTTTTGCTGAGACACGTACGGTTCAACTGAAACCTGCAGCACTTTACCAACAAGAGTCTTGAACGTGGGCTCTGAAGACAAGGATCCATTCCTATTCGAAAGTCATGGCTTCAAAGAGTCTTATTGCATCCTGTCGTACTGTTGGGGTCTCTCGGGAAACGCCACAACTACCAAACATAATCTCGCACAACGTACCCAGAGCATTCCTCTAAGATCACTTCCGACGCTACTTCGCCAGGCCCTACTAGCTGCGAGATATTTATGGTATAAGTACATTTGGATCGACGCACTTTGCATCATACAAGATGATCCAAATGACTGGGCTCGTGAGGCAGCAGGAATGCACGAGCTTTACTCCCAGGCCGACCTGACAATTACAAGTCTTGTTGCAGCAGATTCTCGGGATAGCCTGTTTGAGTCACGCTCAAGGGAAACTTCTAGGCCTATCCCATTGAAGATTAGTCTTCCGAAAAAGTATCGCCATCCCTTCAATGAAGGTGTGTTTGAATTTGCGGCTTATCCCAGCCATCACAATTACAAGGACGGGGATTTTGAAGGTCCAGTGCATCAGCGGACCCGGACATTGCAAGAACACCTCATGAGCACACGAGTGGTCTATTTTGGCCCCGGTATCCTGTACTGGGAGTGTCTCTGCTCTTATCACATCGAACCAAATCCCGAAGCACAGTGTTTCACTAGATCTATCGGCTACAGTGGCAAAGATTTGGACACAAGGAGAAGGTTAAAACTAGCTGTCAAGACTCTTCAGCAGCAAAACTTGCCCTCTCAGAACAAATAAAGTCCCATTCGAAGTATGGCAATCTCAAGTCGAGGAATTCACCCACAGAAAGTTGACGAAGCAATCTGACAGAACTACAGCGTTTCTGACAATGTCTGAGGTGCCTTGCAATGCTGGGGGGGGACAAGTTCGCTGGCGGGTTATGGACTGGTAAACATCTGATTGCCAGTATGCGTTGGAAACTGGAGCGAGCCGATGAGGCGGACATAAGAGGCCCGTCCTGGACTTGGGGGTCTCGTTCTAGCGCGGTATCTTACAAGTTATGTCGACATCCGGGAAGGATGATGTCAAAGCCATCCGTTATTTCGATCAACATCAGCATTGATAGATCTCACAGCAATATCTCGGGTTTCATTACGCTCAGAGGCTTTCTCGGTGTTTGGAGACCTGACAACATTCCATCTTCTCGCCCTTGGCCGATGTTCGGAACGGCTATATCGGAATGGTTTGATCAAACTTCAGAATCTCAAGACAATCTCTATATCTTTGGCATGCTGGAATCTGGGAAAACGCCCAAAAGTCCGCCTTTTCCCGGCGCGTATCCTGCGTCTCCCAAAAAAACATACTGTTAGTCTTTTGCTGCAGCCTGTCGATGGCAAAGACTTGAGCACTGCTTTGGTGTTTCGTCGTGTTGGCATTGCCGAGGGAACTGGGCTTGAAGAGTTCAGTGTGTCGGATAAAGATGGAAATGATGCAATTTCCCGGTGGCGAGGTGTCACGCAGTTTGAGAGAAACCGAGTGGTAGTCATTGTCTAAGAACAGCTGCTACTCGGCCATCTGGTTGCATTAGGCTATTTTCCGCTATGGATGTTATTGGGCATGGCTTGAACGATATTCAGTAGCTATCCCATAGTCTATTCCCGAGTATTTCAAATTTATTTTAGGGAGCCAGGCGCAAGTTCTCGCTGAGGAATCAAGTCTGTCCATTCAACACCAGCGAGGCGATGTTCCCGATTGAATATACGACCAACTACTAAGGTATGCAACGAAAGTTTCACCTTTGTTGAATACGGTGCAAGACATAGGTCTACTCTGTTATAGGTGATGTTCAATATAAGAAAACCTTCTTCCTGTGTCCACACTTTTTGGATCCGCATCGGACTCATGTAGTCATCGACGGATGAGGTGGTTGATTTCGGAAAGCCAATGCAGTGGGCCCGAAACCTATAAGTACACCAGGATTCTGTTGTACCTTCGGCGTGACGGCTTACATAGTGGAACAGCATGCCTCTTCCCAAGCAACTTCATACCGATATTTGAATTCGGCTTGAATATCGTTGAGGTCCTACTGAAGCGTGGGCGACATACAAGAACGTGCACAAGACTTTGCTCCTTGCTCTGCTCTATTACAACGTAGCCCCGGTATGAGAATGGAATCACGGACTGGGAACAACATCAATGAATCGAAGGCGACCGTGCCAGATGGGCTGTAAAAACAATCCCAGCGAATTCAGGGTGACGTCGTTCGCGGCATCGGAGCCACTAGGCCTATCTCGCGGCGCGGGAGCATCCGCTGCGTCGGGGCGCGACTCCGCGAGTCGGGACGAACGGCACCCAAAAGCTTATCAGACCGCGATGAAGTGGGCGGTCCTTAGTGATCCAAAAGTGTCGTCAATTCCGCCGAGTTTTCTCCCAGTCCCGTCGAGTGAAACAGGGCGACGCTGATTGGGCAATTGGGGCGGCTAGCGTTTGCATGCGTCCCCGAACACTCCGGCGGCAATTCCGTCACGACGGAACAACGACGTCATAGCGTGCTCAAGCATAGCGACTAGGGGTCCACCATGCACCAGAGCACACACTTCCCTGCCAAGGCAAGCTCTTTTCTCTTTTCATGACGAGAGACCTTTTAATACTCTCGACCGGCCGTTTTCTTTTGATACTCCATCATCGTACATACCATTTCTCTGATTTCCAAAAGCACCAGAATGGCATCAAAAACAACACCACAAACAAAGGTCCCGACCTTCTCACCCTTCGACTATGCCAAGTTCTTCGGCGCCGGCGCGCTCGCCGCGACGCTCACCCACGGTGCTGCCACGCCCATCGATGTCGTCAAGACGCGCATCCAGGTCGACGACGCCATGAAGGGTCTCAACATGGTCAGCGCCGGGCGCACCATTATCGCCAAGGAAGGCGCCTCCGCCCTGCTCACCGGCTTCGGCCCCACGGCCGTCGGCTACCTCGTCCAGGGCGGCGGCAAGTTCGCCGGCTACGAGTTCTTCAAGAAGCAGTTCATCACCCTCGCCGGCGGGCCCGACAAGGCCGTCGACAAGCGCACCGCCATCTACCTCGGCGCCAGCGCGACTGCCGAGTTCTTTGCGGATATCCTGCTGTGCCCGCTCGAGGCCACGCGCATCCGTCTCGTCTCGCAGCGCGGGTTTGCGAACGGGCTGACGTCGGGATTCATGCGCCTGGCGCGCGAGGAGGGGTTCAAGGGGTTCTACTCAGGCTTCGTGCCGCTGCTGTTTAAGCAGGTACCGTACGCCGTCGGCCAGTTCTCGGTGCACGAGGCGGCGGTTGAGGTGATCTACCGCACCATGGGGCCCGAAAGGAAGGCCAAGATGACGCAGCTGCAGTCGACGGGCGTGGAGCTGGCGTCAGGCGTGGTTGCGGGTGTCGCGGCGGCGGTGCTCTCGCATCCGGCGGACACGCTGCTGTCGGCCATCAACAAAGGCGCAGGCGACCCGAAGCAAGGGGCCACGAGCCGGATGTTCCAGCTCGCGAAGGAGTTCGGGCCCAAGAGGCTGCTGTTGACGGGGTTGGGCCCGCGTATCGTCATGACTTGCGGCTTGGTGGCTGGGCAGTTTGTGATTTACGCGCAGTGCAAGACATTGGTTGGGGCGCCGGCTGGCATTGAGATTCACAAGGAGGAGTCGCTGTGATTGGGATGGGGGTTGATGGGTAGAGGGGATAGATGGATTCCGCAGGCGTTCTGGGCGTTTCGGGGTGGCAGAGCGGGTAGACGGAGCGACATACAATTCATTTTACGACAGTTTCTAATTCAAAAGTATTCACATGAAGCACTGATTGACTGCACGATATGCAAACGAAGCTGGGTGCTTGGTGTAGACCCTCTGGCCTGCAGAAAATCCCGAAAACGAGCTCCGGGCCATCCGTGTTCCACATTCCAGCTACACACCGCTTGACTGTTGAAAGATATCAGCATCTGAAGCGGAAAGAATACGCGCCCTGCGAACGTTGCAGATGTCTTGGGCCGTTTCAATCTAGGCGTGCCTGATGTCTCTGTTGGGGATGACCATTTCAGGACGTACGTTGAGCGCGGAAAAGTCATTTTCAAATCTTGCGGTGCATGGGCACACCAAATCGTTCGAGGCCTTCTCATGTTGCACGGCTTAGATTACATCTCATGAATCCAAGCAGCCGGCTCAGCATTCCCTTCTACCGTGGTACGTCTAGTTGACTTGGTCCCCTTCGTGGAGCACCTGTAGAATCTAGATCTAGTGTTGAAGTCAGCACAGATAGGACATGAAGAAAGCCATTCTTACAATCGTTTGTCAAGCCGGTTTAAATTTGAGTGAAGATCATCCGAACCGGAAGGTATCATATACTGGCTGAGCTGAGTGTGCTTTCTTTCCAGAGACAGCCGGTTCGACTCTTCCTCATGCGTGATCCCTCATGCAACATAACATTAGGTGGGCTAGATACAATGGCGAAGGAAGGAGCAGGAGACTCTTACGGAAGGGCCGATGATGAATGATGCCGTCTCTGGCTGGTCTTTCCTTCTTGTCATCGCCCCTTCCTTCGTACACCTCACGATGTTGGTGCAACCCCTTTGGACGGGAAGGGACACCTCTGTGTCTCCTTCATCAAAGCTTCCCGATAACAAGTGATAAAACTCAAACACCATTCCCATCCATCACCAACTCAGCTCCACATCCCTCCGCTCTGAACTGCTCTTCTTCCACTCCACACTCGCCGGAAGCCGACCAAAATGGGCCTCAAACCCGCCATACTCTCTCTCATTCTCTCCCTCAGCTGCATCATCACCCTCGCAGCAGCCGAGTCATACACCCTTACGGCCTACGCTCCCGCAATCCGCGCGATCCACGGCAGACCCATCAACGCCAGTGGCCGCCGCTTCATCATCGGCCTCGGCGCCCCGATGACTTACTGCCCCGACGTCGTCCCACGTGGTTCCTGCCCACCCGGAAACATCACCACCGTCGATGGACTCCTCACGGGGATGATGGTACGTTCTTTTGCCCTCCGTTGGGGCACCGAGCCTTTGCCTTCCTCCCCCTTTCTCCCGACTGACTATTCACTCCACAGGTCATGGTACCAGGCGGACAGAACATCTACGTCGATTCTGAGGGGTTCGTCGGCTTTACCCAGGCACACTCGGCCTCTTGGCCCGCCAACTCCACCCTGATGGACGGCTTCTACAGGACCACCGCCAAGTCCTCGTCTCGATGCGAGGCCGAGCCGCCGACGGACCTCCTCGACTTCTGCGACCCGAAGAACGCCGCCAGCGAGGGTGTGTACGCGTGTCCTTACCCCGACCTCGTGGGGACGTGGGTGCTCGTCGCAGGCAGTGCCCGGTCGAGGGCGCGGCGGGGTGATTGTGAACGACTCGAGGGGCTGGAGTTGCACGAGAGTGAGATCGAGCTTGGAGCGTGGCAGTACACGTAAGGAAGCTTCCAATCAAGCTTCCATAGCGTCAGTTCCGGTGTGATGTTGATGAGTTTCGGACTACGCACACTCTCATCACAATTTTGGTAATTTTGGTCTGGCCGCAGGGGGTCAGCTTGGTCGAACAGTACACACTTTTCTCAATTTGATGTTTAGCACCAAAGGACCTTTTTCAGTTACAATACAATACAAATGCTCTCTCTCTCAAGACGCTTAATCCAACACAAGCTCGACGTCGAACTCCTTGGCGTGGAGCTCGTACGCGGGCAGCGTAGCCGGGCCACAAGAACCCGTGCCCAGACCGTGATGCTTCCAGTCCAGCCTGACAACAGTGTCCTCCCTCTTACGCTTGTACAGCTCGTACGGATGCTCGCACTCATCCAGGTCCTTGGTGGTGTAATGCATCGCCGAGAACGACGCGCCGTCCAGATCGCCGAACCGCGCACGCAGCAGCTTCTCGCGCGGCGCGCTCTGGTCCACGACGCCGTTCTCGTCAGGCAGACGGCCGCGGAGCTCGACCCAGCGGACATCCGTCCTGTTGCCGCCGTCCTGGGGGTACTCGTAATCAACAAAGAGGTCGTCGACCGTCTCCTCCCAATTGCCGAAGGCCTGCGCGCGCTTCTTGTCCGAGTAGCTCTCGCCCGGCCCGCGGCCCCACCACGCAACGGTCTCGACGCCCTTAACGCCGCCCGTGAGGCCGATGCGGGCGAAGGTGTCCGGGAGGAGCGGCCCGTTGGGCTTGCCCTTGATCTTGATGTAGACGGCCTCGCCGTGGAAGGTGAAGGTGGTCCAGGTGTCGACGGCCCAAGCGAGGACCGGGGGCGCGATGCGGGAGTGGACGTTGACGACGAGGCCGTGCTTCTCCTTGCGCCACTCGACGCGCTTGACGTGGTGGCGCGTCTGGTCGAGGCGGCGGTCCGCCCAGTTCTGGCCGAAGCGGCCGCCGCGGTCGTTGTCGGTCAGCGCGCGGTAGAAGTCCATGACGAAGGGCTCCGTGAGGAGGTCGAGGTGCGGGCGGGAGGCCTTCTTCCAGCTGGTGAGGGTGCCGAGGGTGAGGTCGAGGCCCCAGGTGGACTGGCCCGTGGAGGAGGTGATGCTGAGGGTGGAGGGGTCGGTTTGGCGGATGGTCGGGACGGGGTCGACGAAGGGCTGGAAGAGGGTGGAGAGGATGCGGGCCATGGACGGGGGCTTGGAGAGTGGGAGCTGGCCGAAGGCGACGCGGTGGCCGGCCTTGGCCCAGTTGGTGTCCTCGGTGAGGATGAAGTCGATGTGGAGGTAGGCCTCGGCGGTGAGGTCCTTGGGGAGGCCCTTGATCTTGAGGTGCGCCTTGGTGTGGGGCCGGACGCCCTTGGGGATCTCGACCTCCTGGTCGCTGCCGATGACGAGGCCGTCGCCGACGATGTGCCAGGTCGCGGTGAGGTGGTCGAGGTCGACGAAGTCGTAGCGGTTGACGATGGTGACCTCGTTGCCCTTGATGCCGAGCGTCTGGACGGGCTCGATGGCCTTACCGTACTCGCGGAGGCCGGGGGTTGGGGTGTGGTTGGCGAAGCAGAGGCCGTCGAAGACGAAGTTCTTGTCGTTGGGGTCGTCGCCGAAGTCGCCTCCGTAGCCCATGTACTCCTCACCATCCTCGTTTTTGGTGCGGAGGCCCTGCGGATGTTAGGATGTGGTCATATGAGGGAGCTGCAAAGGCTTACATGATTGGCCCATTCCCACACGAAACCTCCCATCAGGCGAGGGTGTTCGTAGAAGGCATCAATGTACTCCTTGACGCCGCCGGGTCCGTTGCCCATGGCGTGGATGTACTCGCACAAGACCAGCGGCTTCCTCCAGTCCTTCTCGGACGCCTGGTAGACAATATCGTCGACGGAGGCGTACATCCGGCTGTAGATGTCTGCGGTTTGAGCACTACCGTCACCCTCGTAGTGGACGAGGCGAGACTGATCAATGCTCTTGATGATATCGTACATGTGCTGGTGGTTTTGCCCGTAGAAGGACTCGTTGCCCAGGGACCACAGGACGACGGATGCGTGGTTCTTGTCACGCATGACCATCTGCCTGGCTCTGTCCTCGTAGGCCTCTCTCCACTCTGGGTTATCGGAGGCAAACTTGTGGCCGTCGATGCCGACAACGCCAAAGCCGTGGCACTCGAGATCAGCCTCATCAAGGATCCAGATGCCAAGTTCATCAGCGAGGTCGTAGAGCCTGGGGTCGTTGATGTAGTGGGAAGTGCGAATACCATTGACATTAAAATGCTTCATAATAAGCAGGTCACGCTTGAGGAAATCATAAGGCACCGCGCGCCCGGAATCAGGGTGGTGCTCGTGGCGGTTGACGCCGCGGAACTTGACGGGCTCTCCGTTGATGCAGAAGACGCCCTTGATGAGCTCGGTCTGGCGGAAGCCAACCCGCTGGACCAAGCTGCACTTTTGGAAGTTGAGGACGAGCGTGTACAAGTAAGGTGTCTCGGCTGTCCATTTGTGGGGGTTCTTGACGCGCACCTCGAAGCGATTGGTGCGGTCGAAGATCTCCATGCCCTTGGTGATGAGCTTGCCGTCGGCGTCGAGGAGCTTCATGTCAACGTAGGCGCCCCGGTTCATGGTGATGTCGACGCGGAGGGTGGCATCCTTGTAGTCTTTGTCGAGGAACGTGTGGACGTGGTAGTCCTCTGGATGGAACTTGGGAAAGGCGTGGAGGTAGACGTCGCGGAAGATGCCGCTCAGCCACCACTGGTCCTGGTCCTCGAGGTAGGTGCCGTCACAGCGCTGGTAGACCTCGACCGCGAGCGTGTTCTCGGCGTCGACCTTGATGAAATCCGTGACATCCCACTCGCTGGGGTTGCGGGCTCCCTGAGAGTAGCCGACCTCGTGGCCGTTGACCCAGACGGTGAAGCCAGAGTCGACGCCCTCGAAGCGTAGTCTGAGCTGGTTGTCCTCGGCAAAATCCTTGTCGACGTGGAAGGTGGTCACGTGGCGGCCACACTCGTTGTCATCGTACGGGATGTTGGGGGCGTCCACGGGCCAGGGGAAGTTGAGGTTGGTGTACTGCGGGCCCTTTCCGTAGCCCTGGCACTGCCACATGCCGGGGACGACGATGTCGCCCCATTCCGAGGTGTCAAAGTCGGGCTTGTAGAAGTCCCGGGGCCCAGCAAAGGGCGAGGTTGTCAAGTGGAACTTCCACTTTCCGGAGAGCAGCTTGGACTTGGACTTGGTGGTGTCCCTGGTCAGGGCGTCCTCCTCATTGTTGTACAGAAAGAAGTAGCTCCGTGGGGGCAGGGTGTTGCGATGGAGGACCTTCAGGTTGCTCCAGTCTGGAGTATGCTCGGGATAGACATGAGTGGGCGAGCCACTGACCACCGTGGTGGTGGTGGTGTTGTTGTTGCTTTCTTCCTCGGACGGTCCGCCGCTGGATGAGCCCTCACTTGAGGAGCTTCCCAGACGGCGGCGGTGAGCTAGCTTTTCCATGTAGACACTCAGATGGAGGTCGGTGGTAGGCGAGATGTTGACATAGTCATCGGAGATGTCGGACATGGTTGAGACAAAGAGGGCCGATGTGCCGAGGCGGAGACGGAGACGGGAGGGCTAGCAAGAGTGGGATTGTGGGTTCAGTGTTCGGCGAGGGACGGGACAGCAAGAACGGGGCGGTGGAGAAGCAATTAACGGAGGTGGTTTAGGGACGGACATGCAGTTGGCGCAACGTACGGGGATCTCACGATGATGGGAGGGGAGGTGGTGGGCTGGTGTGATGGTGTTTGGTGGATAGATCACGATAGCCCCTTGCAGTGGTGGATGGACAGATGGGAAGCAGGAACGTAGAAGTTGGAGATGAGGTTGGAGCTGTAGCTGGAGCTGGAGCTGGCAAACAGTCGAACGGTTCGATTTGGAGCTCGAACGAGCTGGTGCCAGGAATCAGGAACGTCACCTGAGACGGCGCAGCGTCAGGGAGTGCGGGGGAATCTCAATCACGAGGTACCTTCCCTTACTGCAGTGCGTCCCTTTGGGTGCGCCGACGGGTGCAGGGGCCTGGTTTGGGGGAAGCGGGGTAGCTGATGATTGGCTGGGGAAGTCGGGGGTGCTTAGCTAATGCTTCAGAGTTGGAGCTTAAGCATTGGGCCTGAGGCACGTAGTACGTACCTTTCATACCAACACCAGCAGCAGCTACTCACAGAGGAAACAGGGACAGAAACAAACAGGAAAACACCACCAACCAACGGTCAGTGCCGAGTGTCAGACTGGGAGATACTTGCAGTGCCCAGCATGCTCGGGCGTTCGTTTGACATGAGCTCGGATATTGTCGGCCATCCATCGTCCATTCTGTGCAGTGTTCTGGAAGCTGTGCCACGAAGACGTCTCCCCTCATCTTTCATGTTCGTGATAAAACGCATCCAGCATGGGCAGCTCGCCTCTCTTTTGAATCCTCTGGGACCACTCTTCTTCTTCTCCCTCTCCCTCCTCCACAAGACCCCGAAAAACCCCAACCCTTCCTTCGCTCTCACCTCCCACACGAACCGCGCGCATCAGTTCTAGACCAGATCCCGAGTCAGTTCGGCCACCGTCCGAGAATTTCTCCATTTCACAGCCCAATCACCTGCCCTCCCCGTCTCCTCCTCGTGGCGGTACGTATCCCCAGGGGAAACCCCAGGAACCACAATTCCCCAGACGAGCCTAGCGTCTAGACCGCACCTCGGCTTTCGCCCCCGTCTGGGGATCGGGACTCTCCGCACCGGACCTCATTCCTCCTTCTTTTCCAAAGAATTTTTCTTCTTTTATTTTTCACATCGTGTGATATTGCATGGGTTGGCACGTTGGGTCCGAATCGCCTCAAAAATTGTTCCTGACAGACAGGCAATGCTCACCGCCAAGGCACAACATGTGTACGGGACAAGAGTCACCCAGATTGACGAAGCTGCTGCGCCGCACGCACAACGGCTCGTTTCCCGCCTGCAAAGCGTGATTCCCAAACTAAGAATCTGAACCGCTGCGGGCGTCGCCGGCCATCGTCCCGGGCTCCAGATCGGCACGCCAACGCCTCTGTTGGCATGATCCGAAGCTTGGCTGATGCCACCCGGCCGTCAAAACCGGCAACCGGCTCGGGCTCCAACCTGCCAGCCATTCTCATCCTCCTCCCAAAACAGCTTCGCCTGATTCCCCCTCATCGACACTAGTCTACCGTGAAGCAACCCCGCCGGCCCTTTTGTGCATCTGATCTGAATGCCCACTACCCTCGCGAATCACAGCTCGAGCCGATGCCTCTTGATGCTGGGCTCCGGATGGCACCCCATGCTTTTTGGGGTAAACATTGAGGAGGCAAAAGACCAAGGATTGGCGTGTGCGGAGATCCGTCAGGTTCATCGCGAGTGTGCCGTATCCGTACCGCTCGCTAGGTTTCGAGTCTGTCTGTCTCTGCAAGTTCAGGCCACTAGTCGGGACCAACACCACTGACGGCTCATCGTGCCATTCTAGTCTCATGTCGTTCTCCATAATACTAGCAATTTCACTACAAAAGCCTCCACGTGCTGCGGCTCCGTCTCCCCCGTGCGAACCAGCCCATTGCCTGAATCCTCCGAGCGTGTGGGGATGCCAGTGGGATCCCCATATCCTGGGGACCGGGGTATGGTGCAAGCAAGCAGGCAAGCAGGATGGAGATGCCATGTAACGGTAGTCGCGCAGTCGCAGTCCCGACCCGGTGGTTGGGCCGTTGTTCACCGGGCGGCCCTTCGCTCATGTGTCTGCCCATTCGATCGGCATTGAGGTCGCGTTGGCTTGCCGGCCGGGTGGGCTCTTCCTCAGTCCCTTTAAAGAGGCCATCTTCCCCTGCGCATGCGACGCGCGTGAATTGCTTCCTGTCTGTCCCTTGACTCCATCGCCAATTTCCCAAGTTTTGCGCCGCAGTTCGCATACTGGTTCCAGTCACAATGGCGCCTCTTGAAGAAACGAAATCTCGCACCGAGGTCGAGCACGACAATGCGCCGATGGACGAGAAGGCCGCGAACGCGGTCGGCGACGTCAAGGAGGTGAACGCCGCCTCCGTCGCATTGGCTGCGGCCCTGGCCGAGGCGAAGCCCAACATCTGGTCGCCCAACATGCTCCGTCTTTACTTCATCATGGCCGTCGGATACCTCGTCTCGACTATGAACGGCTTCGGTGAGTTGCCCAATCCCCAACAGCAGACCTGCGCCCATGGAAGCGAGCTAACACCTCCCTCAGACAGTTCCTTGATGGGCGCCATCAACGCCATGCCGTACTACCAGCAGACCTTTGGCCTCTCCGGCGCCGGATCGACCACGGGTATCGTCTTCATGATCTACAACGTCGGCCAGATTTGCAGTTTCCCCTTCTGCGGTTGGCTCGCTGACGGGTACGGCCGCCGCGTCTGTATTGCTGTCGGCTGCTTCATTGTCCTCATCGGCACCGCTATCCAGACACCCGCCAACAACCTCGGCCAGTTTGTCGCTGGTCGCTTTGTGCTTGGCTTTGGCGCCTCTCGTGAGTTGCTCCTGTGTTGTTTCAATTTCGGGTTCTAAAAGCAAGCTAACAGCGACATCGCAGTTGCCTCCGCCGCTGGCCCCGCCTACACCGTCGAGCTTGCTCACCCCGCGTACCGAGGCTTCATGGCCGGCATGTACAGTGAGTGGCATCCAGTTGTTCCTTCTGCGCGACTTCGAATAAATACATTCTGCTTCATTATGGCTTAGACTGACGACCGCTAACGCAAAAATCTCATAGACAACTTCTGGTGGCTCGGCAACATTCTCGCAGGTAAGAACAACCGCCTCAGCCCCCCTTAGACACACCGCATGCTAACTCGTCTTCAGGATGGACTACCTACGGATCTAACCTTCACGTTCAGTCCTCATGGGCGTGGAGAATCCCCACAGTCGTCCAGGCCGGCATGCCCGGCGTCGCCATGCTCTTCATCATGTTCTTCCCCGAGTCGCCCCGTTGGCTCATCTCCCACGACCGCGCCGAGGAGGCCCTGGCCATCTTGGCCAAGTACCACGGCGACGGGGACGTCAACTCGCCCATCGTCCAGCTGCAGTACCACGAGATCATGGAGGATAACCGCCTGACCAAGGATGAGAACCCCTGGTGGGACATGCGTGAGCTCGGAAACACCCGCGCTGCCCGTTACCGTCTGTTCATGGTTATCGCCATGTAAGTCGCAACATCTTAGGCCCCATTCTCTGTTGCCACCACGAGCTAATCACAATTACAGGGCTTTCATTGGCCAATGGAGTGGAAACAACGTCGTTTCTTACTTTATGCCCGAGATGTTCAAGCAGGCCGGCATCACCGACGACAAGACCCAGCTCCTCCTCAACGCCATCAACCCCATCTTCTCCATGATTGGCGCCATCTACGGCGCCAGCCTGCTCGACCGCCTCGGCCGCCGCTTCATGATGATCGCCGGCCTCCTCGGTTCCCTGGCCGCTTACATCATGCTCACGGGCTTCACCGCCGGTTCCGAGACCAACAAGAACCTGTCCTACGGCGTCATCGTCTCCATCTACGTCTTCGGCATCTGCTTCGCCTGGGGCTTCACGCCTCTGCAGACGCTGTACTCGGTCGAGTGCCTCGAGAACCGCACCCGCGCCAAGGGCTCCGCCGCGTCCTTCATGTTCCTCAACGTCGCCATCATGATCAACACGTACGGCATCTCCGTCGCCATGGAGAGGATTGGCTGGAAGCTGTACCTTGTGTACATTGGCTGGATTGTAAGTCTTGAATCCACCCCACTCACATGGGGAATTTCGCACCAGATATGCTAACTGGCGTAATTAGTGCATCGAACTCGCCATCATCTACTTCTTCTTCGTCGAGACGGCGGGTAAGACCCTCGAGGAGCTCAAGTCCATCTTCGAGGCCCCCAACCCCAGGAAAGAGTCGACCAAGAAGACCAAGGTTTCCGTCGACGAGGCAGGAAACGTCATCAACGTCGGCGAGACCACCTCGGGCATCTGAATAATGCGTCAGCCTGGGTTTATATGCCAGCCGCCAAGAGGAGCGTGCGAACTGATTGGCGTGGCCACAAACGAATAATTATACATGATTAATACGAAATTGATTCCCCTCACACCATTTCATAATCCCAAGCAATTTGAAAGATGTTTGTCAAAGCCGGATGCCACGCGGATGACCTTGGCGTTAATGTCACACCGGACGATACGACCCCCGCCGAAAGGCAATCCCGACAGGGTCCGCCAATCGAAGCATCTCATTCCCGCCCGCCTTGTCCCAATTCATGTGTTCCCCATTCAGCCATCTACCGCAGTCCCCATTTCAGCCTGGCCTAGGCGTCCCGTGGGCAAACTCATGGGGAAAAGCTGATCCTGCCAGGATCCAATCTGTAGAGCGGCATCGCCTACGCCCGTCCTTGCAGAGCCGTCCTCGCTGCTTGGTGCTGGCACAGCTGCCGATTCGCGTCGGTTGAAGAACCCCATACCCACGGGAATGCGGGAAGCTCGTGCCAGATGTTCTCGCGTCAGAGGGGGAAAGCTGACAGCCCCATGCCTAGAGAAACAGGTCCCTTG